GGGAAAAAGAAAAAATAAACATTGACCAGGCAGATAGACTAAATGGCTTAATCCAGAGAGAGAGAAAGGAAAATAAAGAAGGACATGAGAAGAAAAAGAAATGAAGATAAAATTATCCCCATAGAGAAACTACATGGCTTGATTATTCCAGAGAAAGAGAAAGGAATGTAAAGAAGGAGGTGTAGAACATGTATCAAGAGAATGGATTAAATATGTCTGTTTAAACAAACAAAAAACCAGAGTAACTAGCCTAGAGGAGAGAAGAGATAAGGAGAAAAGGAAGGAAGAATATATCTAAATAACAAGAATTTCGTAGAATTAACCCAGGCAATGCAGCAGCACTGGTCTGGAGGAGGGAGCTGTCTGGTTCCTCAGCATCAATGTTTATTTATTTTTGGGACAGAGAGAGACAGAGCATGAACGGGGGAGGGGCAGAGAGAGAGGGAGACACAGAATCGGAAACAGGCTCCAGGCTCTGAGCCATCAGCCCAGAGCCTGACGCGGGGCTCGAACTCACGGAGCGCGAGATCGTGACCTGGCTGAAGTCGGACGCTTAACCGACTGCGCCACCCAGGCGCCCCTGGTTCCTCAGCATCTATCCAGCTCCAGTAGACATGCAGTTACCCAGCCAGGAGGGGCATGGTTTGGTGTAAGGAGGTCCTGCCTCCACTGTGAGCCCCAAGGACCAATCCCTGAGGCCTGCCTTGATGGTGGTGGTGGGGAGAAAAATGGCAACCCCCCCATTGTCTTTTCCACGGACCCAGTGTCCCAAATCACTCCATTTGAGCTGTCCTCACTGTGCCACAGGTGCAGATGAGATGGTCTGTCTTGCTCTGCCGACTCCCATGGCCTGGTGCTTGGCTGGGATTTAAACTCCCACTCCATGCACCCTGGCACTGGGGAAGTGCCTCTCTATACTGACCGATATGTGGTCCAGGCTGGTTTTGTCTTGTGCTGCAGCACTTCAGGGAGGACCACTTTCTCCTGCAGACTGTGCCCTGACCTACCAGTGAAACTGGGGGTGGCTCCCCTTCTCCCAAGGTGCATGAACAGGGCAGCCAGCCCCAGTCTAAAGAAAGCCCTGCAGTTAGAGATGGGATCCCTCTCCATCCTGGTCCAAGGTTTTTCTCTTGTCCAGATACAGTCTTATTCTTCCCCAGCCGCTTTTTCTCTTCCCTTTGTCTCTCTGCAGAAGGGGATCTCTCCCCTCCATGCCTATGCAGCCCATTTTATCTTCCCCAGTTTGCAATCACCCACCTATAGCCCATCAGGTTGTCCTGGTGTCTTCTTGTTAGACTCAGTCTCTTTCCTCATAGTCTCTTGGGGTTCAAAGTCCTTTGACTTCAGCCCTTCTTTGTTTGAGAGATGTGGGAAGTACAGATCCCCCTACTTCTCTGCCAGGTTGGTCGGCCTCCCACCCAAAATTTGTATTTAGTAGATCAGATGTTGATCTTTGCTTTGGAGAATATGGTGATGATATGTAGCATCCTAGGAAAGAGGTACAAGAGAAACTGGCATGGAATCGTCTCTCCACACTCTTCACCACCAATAGCTGAAGAATGTCTGGAAAGGGCTGGGGATGCTGCCCACTGGGGTTTACTTAACAACTGGAAAGTTCTCCCCTCCACCTAAAGCAAAGAAAAATCTAAGCCTCTAGAAACTAGAAGCTTTGGAAGCAGCCCAATTAATTGACTGTGTGAGAGAGACCTTATGAAAAAATGGTGGGTACAAAGACTGAAGGACCTGCTCTACATTGCCTCTACACCGATCAATCTAGGAAAGCACAGACTACCTAAATAGAAAACTGAGTACTGGATAGGTGCATCACATGAGCGTGACAGTAGCAGAGGATGGTAGCATCTCTAGGGGCATTCACCAAGTACCAGCAAGAAAACTCTTCCTGGAAATTTCCAAGCTGAGACAAAGGGATGGGAACACTCAGGCAATTGTTAGGCAGTGACCAACAAAGCTCTGAGTGGAGGGAGAAGGACGTAGAATGTTTTCAAGTAAAAGTACCCCTGGTCATATGCTTTCTCTAGAAGCCATAATCATAAGCTGAGGAGACTGTATGTGGAGGGAAATGCCAAACAACCTGAACTGGAATAAGGCCCATCTTCTCAGTAGCAATTCCAAAGTCCAAGTGGGAAAAAGCAGTCATAGGAAGAATTCCATTATAGCTCAGTGAGGGCTCAGGAACAATTTAGAAACACTATATACCATTTGAATGTTCAACAAGGTTACTTAGAAAAAAAAAGCCTCAGAAAGTTAAGTAGAAGCTAGTGTTCAGTTTCAAACCAACAGGAGGAACAAGTATGGATCCCCTTCTTAAAAATGTACCTTCCTCATTTTTCTTTTGTAATTCAGATTAGATACAAAAAAATCATGTTTTCTTTTATATATTACATTCATATTAGGTCCATCACATCAGTCCTGATCCAAGCTGGAGATATCCTGTAGGATTGTACTTTGGCAAAGGCATTTATATAGGGTTAACCAATGTAACATCATTCGAGCATTCAATAAATACATATTTTTAGAACAACTACTTCATGCCAGGTTCTGTGCTAGTGCTGAGGACAGAACAGTGACCAGGCAGAAATCAACTCCGCTGTCTTGTATATTTCTAATGACCTGCTTTGATACAGGGCTTACACAGGTCTACTCAGGCTTTCTTTTTCCTCCATGTAGTCAGATTTTTCAGCTTGAAATAACATACTTAGCAGTAGATACTTGTCAAGTCTGTGGCTACCTTTTTCTTAATTTTTTAAATGTTTTTATTTATTTTTGAGAGACACAGAGAGACAGAGCACAAGTGGGGGAAGGGCAGAGAGCGTGAAACAAAGAATCTGAAGCAGGATCCAGGCTCTGAGCTGTCAACACAGAACCCAGTGAGGGCTCAAACTCACAAACTGCAAGATCATGACCTACGCTGAAGTCGGACGCTTAACCGACTGAGCCACCCGGGCACTGCACCCAGTATCTTTTGAATACTCTTCCTGTATTTGGGGATTTTCTTCAAGATATAATTCCTGTCTCCTTAAGGCAGAATGCAAACTCAATTTCCAAGCCTTTCTTGAAGCTAGGGTACAGGCAATGACCTATTGTCAACTGGGGTCCACATGATTTCTCTGATTGAGAAGACACCAACCCAAGGATGCAAAATTCATGAAAAATCCACTTTCCAGAGGGTGTGAGGGTGGAAGAATCTGTTTTTCCAGGGAAGCATGGGTGAAGTTTTTGGCATCTGGAGTATAGCAGTGCAAATTATGGTGGTGTCTCACTGCAGCTGGCCCACAGAATGGTTTATTTTTTTTTATTTTTATTTTTTTTATATATGAAATTTATTGTCAAATTGGTTTCCATACAACACCCAGTGCTCATCCCAAAAGGTGCCCTCCTCAGTACCCATCACCCACCCTCTCCTCCCTCCCACCCCCCATCAACCCTTAGTTTGTTCTCAGTTCTCAACAGTCTCTTATGCTTTGGCTCTCTCCCACTCTAACCTCTTTTTTTTTTTTTTTTTT